TCTAGAGTGCTTTTAGGTTCACAGTAAATTGAGCAAGAAAAACCAGAAGGTATCCATATACTCATTCTCACACACATACAGCTGCTCCTGCCACCAGGATGGTGCATATGTTTTTAATTGTTATTTATTTCATCTTATTTATTCATTCATTTATTTTAATTTGACAAGAGAGAGAGATAAAGTGAGCTGCCAGATCCAGGACTCGAACCATGGTCAGCCATGTGGGAGTCCAGCGCCTCAACCACCACACCACCTTCTAGCCCCTGGTGCATTTTTACAATCAATGAACCTACTCTGACACATCACTATCACCCAAAGTCCATAGTTACATTAAGGTTTACTCTTGGTGTTGTACATTCTACGGGTTTTGATAAACGTATAAGGACATGTTTCACCACTGTAGTATCACACCGATGTTTCCTGGTCCTAAAAATCTTCTATGCTCCTTCTATTTATCCTTCCTTTCCTCTCCGAACCTCTGAGTTTTTTACTGTTCTTTTTATTATCCCCATAGTTTGCCTTTTGGCATTTTCCCAGAATGTCACTATTGTTGGAATCGTAACGGGTGTAGTCTTTTCATATTGGCTTCTTTCACTTAGTAAGATGCACTTAAGTTTCCTCTATGTCTTTTCATGGCTAGATGGGTCATGTCTTTTTGAGCTGAATCCATCATCTGGATGTACCACAGTTTATCTTTCTCACTTTTTTCTCCTTTTTCCTTTTCAGTGTGAAGCAACATATTCGAAACATGGACAACTCTTCAACAGCCATGCCTTGGAGGAAGGAAACTAAGAGACAGCAGCTAGAAGACCAAAGTACCCCATAGGGAGCATATTCAGTGTTTTCACAAACAACACAAAACAAAAATCCCAAATGCCACAATCAATCAAATCAAAAGATATCTGCATTCTTCATCAGAACAATTCCCAAATGATTTCGGGTATTATAGTCCAAGGTTCAGAGAAAATAAAAACAAATTTCATCTAGCCAGTTCACCAAGAGAAATTATGATAAATTATTATTATTAATTTCCTATAGGATGCATGTACTCACCAGAGAGAGACAGAGGAAGAGAGAGTGGGAAAAAAATCACCCCCTAGGAGGGATGGCTATGTCACATCCTTTTCCTTCACTCACCCCTCAGAATTTTGGGCACAGACACCATCCCAGTGTATTTTCCAAGTTGCTGGGTCAGGATTCAAACCATGCAGTTCGCCATGTAGGATCTAGCCACTTTAACCATCAAAACTGGCTGGCCCAATACATTGTTTTTTAATGAAAGTAAAATAACTGATATAAAATAAAACAATTGAAAACATATAGGGCATTGAGTAGAAAGCTGGTAAGGCATTTAAACTTGAGGCATAAGAAATTTACAAATAAAAGATACTCAAAGTTGTGAAGTAGAGAGAAAAACAGTGCTTCAGTTTCAGAAGCAGGACATTGAAGGCTTCACCTCTGGCCTAGAAGAAACACTTCTTTTATGCAAGTTGAAAAAAAGCCACAAGATGCCCAGCTAAAGCCACACACTGAGTTAAGAGGGGAGGTACCAAGAACACATTTCAAAGGGCATATTCAGTGATGTTATTTTACCAAGGACCCTATATTTGAAAAACATGTTTTCCAATCATTCTTCTAAACCTCAAGGAGTTTATCTAAAGAAGGAGTTACTTCCTTGAGAAAAAAACAGGGAATGGAAATGTAAAGAACAAAAATAAATAAGTATATAAATAAATATCCTTGTCCAAGCACAACGCACAAATCAAAATGAACAAAGATTACAGAATTTACCTCCCCAACTCTATTTTGTCCTCCTTCCCAGTTAAGTACAAAAACAAACTTGGATCCTGTGAAATGTAAAGCTAGATCACTTTGAAAACAGATTTTTCTTGCTTTCTCAAAATACACACACACAGGGAACCAGCAGTTAGCGTAATGGCTATGTCGCTGGACTCCCACGTAGTCGACTGCGGTTCGAGTCCTGGACCCAGTGGCTTAAACTCACGCTGGGCACATGTGTGTACATGCCCAAGATCCCAAGAGGAGAATGGAGGAGAAGGGATTGCAGTGTGGCCATCCCCCCTGGGGGGTGATTTCTCGCTTTCTGTCTCTCTGTCTCTCTCTGTCTGTCTGGTGAGCGCACGCGCCCTATAGCAAAAAAATCTCTCCAAAAAATAAATAAATAAATAATTAAATTAAATTAAATGCACACACACACACACACACAGAGTTTTCTAAGACTCCCTTATATTCAGTGGTTAATGGTATCTTATGACTATGTGACTATTTTTTAACTTTCTTTTGTTGAGTCATGGACTTTTCTCCCCTCCCTTCTGAATTCCCAGGGTCAATGGGCAACCTTTTCTAAATCATGAGACTGGGTTTGCTATGTTTGGTCTTGTTCCAGCTTCTTTATTATCTTGCTGTTGTGCACTACACAGTTCTGTAGACACACCAGATAAAATGGAGAAACAAAACCAGGAGATTATTCCCAGACTGTTTGCCAACTGATTTTTTTTTTTTTTTTGGAGAGGTTTTTGCTATAGGGCGCTTGCGCTCACCAGACAGAGACAGAGAGACAGAAAGCGAGAAATCACCCCCCAGGGAGGATGGCCACGCTGCAATCCCTTCTCCTCCATTCTCCTCTTGGGATCTTGGGCATGCATGCACATGCGCCCAGCGTGAGTTTAAGCCACCGGGTCCAGGACTTTGAACTGTAGTCGACTATGTGAGAGTCCAGCGACATAGCCATTACGCTAACTGCTGGTCTCCTGATTTTTTTGAAAGAGAGAGATTTCTGTTATAGGGCATGTGTGCTTGCCAGAGAGACAGAGAGAGAGAGACAGAAATACAGAAAGTGAGAAATGGGTAATGGCCACCTTTCAATCCTGTCCCCTCCATTCTCCTCTCAGGATCTTGGGCATGCGTACACACACACAAGCCCAACGTTGAGTTTTAAGTTGCCGGGTCCAGGACTCAAACTGTAGTCTACTGTGTGGGAGTCTAGTAATATATCCATTATGTCATCAACTGGTCCCTGCCAACTGATTTTAAACTGTTGCTTACCGCTAGTACACAAAATAATGAATGGCCTTTATCCGTGAATCTTTCAAAATAGAAATCTCAGGGCAGGGGAGGATTTCTTGTTCTAGCAAACTAATTTATTCTTCCTTTGCCTCAGTGTCCTAATCTATTTAATGGTGTTCCAAGAAGAATCTCTTCTTTTCTTCTCTCCTAATGTCTACTGCAAAATGTGTTGGGTATTTTTCCATTTCATCCTAAGATAGAAAGAAATAGGAAGATATAGGTATAATAATTTACAATCCTCCAGATTGTGTATCTAGAATTTGTTAGTCTTCAGTTATGTCTTGGGAAATCCATAAACCTAGGAAGCTGGGAGCAACTATAATGTTGAGGAATTAGATTCCATTTCTTAAAATTATTTATTTAATTTTACTTATTATCATTATTCTTCCATTTGACCAGAGAAACACATGGGGAGAGAGAGCAAGCCGCCAGGTTAAAGACTTGAACAGTGATCAGCCATGTGGAAATCCAGCATCTTAACCACCACACCACCTGCTGGCCTCTATATTCCATTTTTACTATCAAATGCCAGTTCATACAGTCAATTCCATAGAGTTGATGCCTGGGCATGTGAAACTCGGAGAGTTTAAATAAGTTCCTGTATGTAAGTCATGGCTAGCTACTGTTGAAATTCACCACAACTGGAACTCTTTTTATTTTTAAGACTAGAAGGCTTATTTTGCTTTGACTAGAATTTCAGAATATTCAAGCTGACTCCAGGTCTGGACTGGGTTTCTATCTCAGCCAGGATGTTCTTGAAATATGAAGGAGTTACAAAAAGTTTGTGGGGGAGGGGGAGTGGAATTAAATGATGAGTTTATTTTGGTGCAAAATTTTTTTTCACATGAACTTTTGAAGTCTACATGATTTGAAAGATTTGGCCTTGGACTGCTTTTCAGGGGTATATGATGTGACAGTCTATGAAGACTCCAAGATACCCAACTCCTGCCTGAACACGATCTAATCCCAAGGACCTCAGACTCAACCTATTTTCTTCAGGGTTGACCCAGGCAAGAATTGACACAACTGGAACATTCTAGAGCACAACCACAACTCTGGATTAACCAGGACAAAGTGGGGTGGGTGAAGGGTCCAATATCCACCGTTTGCCCAAAGGGCCATCTGTTGTCACAGTCCTAAATTCAGTAACAGTACTGTCCTCTTTTACCAGTTGCAAGCAAAACCTCTTCAAAATATGAGAATGCTGTTTATCTTTAAATGATTACTTTTCATCTTGCAGAAAAATAGGGACTCACCAACCATACCTTACTTTGAATCATAAATCAACCTACTGTGTATGTGGGTATTTTTCCCCTCAAATCCACCAGAGTAGAACGTTTTGTTTAATGAGTATGAGATGTTTGAAATACAAATCTGCCAAGAGGCTTGCTCCAAATTGATCTGGGACTAGGCAGGGCAGGCTCTGAACTCTGGAGGGAGGCAGAGCAGACAAGGCAAGTCTGAGTCAGGTAACGCCCTTGGGTGCGGTTCGTGGAAGATAAGGTCAGATCACAAGGGACAGAGAGCTTTAAACATTCCAGTACTCTACTGAGTGGGTTCCCTTAAGGAGAACACGGAGATGCGGATGCACGAAAATTCCATGGCCTTCAAGTGGGACAACGGGCAGGAAGGCAGCGGTCGGGCGCTGCCAGAGGTCAATCCACTGTTTGCAAGCCCAGGAAAGTTCGCCCGATTTTGCTAATAAACCTGCAACATTGGGCCCGGAGGTAAACTGGCTGGAAGCGAAGTCAGAACTGGAAAATCCAGGCGGCCCAAGGAGGCGGCCGGCCCTCACCCAGGCGGGCCGCTCCCTCGCAGGCTCCAGTGCTCGCCCGGCTGGAAAGCGGGGACAAGGTCCCGAGCAGCTGCCGGCC